TCCCTACAAAGTAAAATCGCAATGCAAGACCCTGAAATAAAATAACCATACATAATGTGTATGTGGGACTGTGGCAGGTACCTGGCAATCTTCTCATTCCCTGATGTCAAGTGACAATTCACAAAGCCAAAAGATGTCCCATTGAACATGAAGGATACACCCACAGCTCCTTTGTTACCTAGGAAACCGTCAAAACAAACATACAAACTAAATATGTATTACAGTAATCCTGCTGTGATAATAAAATCACTACAATGTCAAGATACACTGCTATGAAAATATTGAGTTTGGAAACAAGAAAAATCGAGTTTACTTTTGAAGGTTACTTTTAAAGTTTACAGAGCTTAAATTAGTGTCGTGGCATTTTTGATCTTATGGAAACCAGATGTTTTCTTGTTAATTCAAGTCAATTATTTTCATCAAAGTGTGACCACAAGAGTTGAAGTAATAAAATCATCAAAACCATTTAATTGCCTCTTTGTTTAATCAGCGTTTTATTGTGCTGTTGTTATTCCATTGTTCATATTTTCCTCTAGATTTTGACCAAGAAGTAAAACATGTGAAGGAAGAGTAAAGACTGAATATGGAGTACTGTTGTTACCCAGTGTGTTGGCGATGCCCGTCTTCACACTGGACATCCCCACGTGGCTGATCCGGTTCTCATGTTCAGGTTTCACCAACACAGCAATTTTTATGTTCCACAGAGTTTGCACTGCGATCTACGACCAACAACAACAAAAGCCAATAAGGGACCTATATCCCACTGTACACAAATATTAGCCCCGTCTCATCATCTTCAGTTTTTCCCTCTCAAACACACTCACCGGTTTATAATCCAGCTCCGTCTGTTCTTTCAACATGGCACGTAGTGACTCCACCCACTCCCGATCACACACAGAGTTTTCTTGGCTTCCAAACACATACAGGTCATGAGGGATGGTGACCGTCATCTCGTCCAGAGTCTTCCCAAGGCCACGACACAACACCCATGAGGCCACAGACTTAGGCGAAGGTACCGAGCCTATAAACAAAGAGCAAAATGTCATACTCTGGATATACATACCTTTGTGTTACAATGTAACATATGAAAATATATGATAAGTCTGTATCTGTTGCTATTGCATTAATGTAAGTTATGTTGAAAAGAAAACCAAAAATACTCAAAATAATGTATGTGTGCGTTTGTGTGTGTCTAACCCATGTTCCAGGTGCCTATGAAGATGGAGATCATGTCTGGCTCGTCTTGGTTGGAATGTTTGTTCTTCATCAACTGCAGCAGCTGGCAAAACGCCTCCCGCTTCTGAAACACACACACACACACGCCAACTTTTAAGATTAACTCTAGAAAAAAATAACCATGGATATATTTTTCAAGACCTTTAGTTTCCGTTATTTTCTTACTTGGAAAACCTTTACAGATGTGATCAATGATGGACATTGATGGCCCTGAACCAAAATGATCAAGGAATTCATTTGTGTACCTTCTGACTATGATATATGAGGGATACTAAAGTAAAATGGGATTTTAGAAAATATACTTAAATATACTTTTTTGTTTTGTTTTTCTGTACTTGGGTATATGGAGGCAGAGGGATGAGGATATGAGGATATTCAGTGTACTGTAATGCTTGTATGATTTCCCATTGGTGCTTCCCAGATGTTGCAACTTTTTTTTAATTTCATTAATTTTCCACTCTCACTATTTTCCATTACATTTTATTTTAGGAGATATTAAAGGAGAAATATCTAAGGATAAATAGTAATGCAGAGCTGAGAACATTACTGGAAGAGTCTTAGTGGAAACTGAATTCATAGATGGGACTGGTGTACTGTGTGTGCCACAAATCTTGGCCGTGTTAGTGTTCTTCGTCTGATTATGAATAAAAGGAAATATGAGGGAGTATTTCCTTTTAAGTTTGAATATGAATGTGTACACCACTGTAATCTTTGTAGGTGGGTTTTCGTATGCTTGAATGATTAAGTTACTGTAATAGATTGTGCTTTCCCCACATCTGCAAAATTATGTTTGAGGCAGTGTGCATGTGAGTGTGCGTGTGCGTGTGTGTGTGTGTAGACCTTGGCACTAGCAAAGATGAAGTCTTTCCTCTGGCTCTTGTCCTTCTCTTTCTCAAAAACAATGCCCAGTTTATTCTGCACCCGCTGAGACTTGATCAGCTGACGGACTGAGACAGACAAATAGGCAGACAGACAAGAGACAGAAGGTCAGAGATAGGGGGGGAGAGAGAGAGAGAGAGAGAGAGAAAGGCAGGGCAGAGCAAGGTTAAGAAAGGGTAAAGTTAAAGGAGAACAATGAAAAGGAAACAGTAGACAAGTTCATTAAAAAGAAGTAGTCAAAGTTTCCATTAAATGCTCATACAATGTTTTATGTCTTTATGTTTTGTTTTATGTTTTGTCTCAAACAGATACCACCAAGAATAATATGTTATCATAGGCTTGGAGTCATAAAGACATTTAATCTCTTGCCCCTGAGTGCAGAGACGATACACATCACCTCGCTAAAAAATACAGAGGACCTCCAATAACATTACAAAAAACTACTTTTGGGACATAAAACAGTAACCATTAGGTAAAAGTGTAGAGGCGTGTATTTAACACAGAAACTTACTTGAATACGGCTATTGTTTAGGCTGCCTTCTACAAACTAAACTGATCACAAGACGAGACGCGTCACTGTCAGGGGGCTTACTAGCTCTGCTAAACAAATTTCTGCTTAAGAAGTCCCAACACTGCTTATCTCCCAGTTCAGAGAATACTGGGGTTATTGTGTTTGGAGAGTTTTCTCACTTTTTTCATGTGTGAAGGTGGTCCAGTCCTCTTGGCTGTCCTTCACCTTCTTCATCACTACCAGCCGTCCTCCCTCCACGTCCACAGACAGAGTGTACTTCTGACTCTTCCCTATCTTTGTCAGCTCTGCCAGGTAAACATCCAGCTTTACCTGAAATGAAGCGTGCGCACACACACACACACACACACACACACACACACTGAAACTGGAGGTGCTTGTAGTGCATTTCTGAAACTTTATGTGTCAACAGAGCGCTCTACTTCCAAATCATATCAAATCTTCACACCACCAGGGGTCTCCAAAGTGAAAGTAGTGGACTTGTCAGCACTCTCTCCCTCTATTCTTATTACAGACAAAACAAGCTTGCTGCTTCTAACAGAGTGTCAAACCAAAGGCAACCAGCAAAAAGTATGAATACTGATGATTCTCTGGACTCTTATAAGGCAGTTCACACATATTCTGACATTTCATCAACAAAGTGCATCTTTTGTATTTAAATCGATAGGACTGGCTCTAAGGAACATAAAACTCATAATTCATCTCAGAAAAAACAGAAATGCATTCTGACTGAGTCATATCACAGTAAAACCTCAATGGGGTCTGTTTGTTTGTCAGTGGGCGAATTAGGTGCCACATCTTAAACCAATCTCCATATCATAACAATGAACAAACTTCTGTTCCTGTGCAACAGGAAGCTGCTGAAAGGAGGTCACCACAGAGGATGCAGACATGGCAACTAATATTCATATCGTCCTTCTTCCTCCTCTGTTTCACTTTTCCTCAAGTATTCCCACTGATAATTATCCCTCCCCTCTTATCTTTCTCTTTACCTGTCACCTTCCTATTCTGAATCTCTCACCTTTACATTATTCTGATTTTTTTCTTTTTCTTCTCCCACTTTTCAACACATTTTCCTTCCAATGTCTATAAGTTATGTTGTTGGTACACTTTCAAAATAAAACAACTATAATCTTACAACCAGTATTCAGTAATACACACATACCTACATACTCATTGTATGTGAGAAAATGATATCAAAGTGATAAGTGATATATAGTATATATAATATATATATATATACACACTATACTATATACTATGACAAAGCCACTGATGATGTAACAGGAAGTACATTACAATCATTCCTCTGGTCTCATGTCTGCTGACAGCGTGTTTGGCAATATATGACTTCAGTCATTGCTGTAGTCACTGCTTTTACTTCATTCAAGTTCAGTCTGTCCTTTGTGAAACAAAATCAGCATTCCCTGATAGTAGCATTTCATAAATCAAATCTGGAGATGTTTCAACATTCTACAACAGATAAGGTTTGCCTTCAGACTGAAATAAATACAATTATAATCTTACCAGACCTTCCTATGTCTGTCATAAAAGAGGAACTATGAAAGATTTTAGATTTTGATTAAAAGGTGAATACCAACATTGATAACAGAGCAGAGCTTGAATGGTGCAATTTGGAGTGTCTTACTAGTTATTTGATTACTGCTGAAATACAGATATTTCTCACATCACCATTCACTGATTAGATAAAGGGTAAAAAAAAATGTTTTTATTTGATTAACTTCCTGGAAAGGCCACAAGCTAAGAACAGATGACATCACTCCACAACCTGACCTTACATCACCCTGCAGAGAAACAACCACAAATAAAATGTTTGTGTTTGTGTGTGTGTG